AACGTAGTGGAGAATCATTCGGAACGGCGTCACTAATACGGTGACGAAATGGATTATTGCCATGCGATGATTCTTGTCAGGGTCACCAATGTAGTGACAGTGGCCGGCTCCCGCTAACAGACTATTGGTGAGTACTGTTCACGGGGAGGGAAAAAATAAGATATGGAAGTGACGGGACGAAGGTGCATTGTGGTACACGCTGTTCCTGTGTATTAGCTAAAAATACGACAACGAACGACGCAGTTAGCTAGGGAAGGATGTGAGGGACCGCGCGATTGAGCGCCGTGTTTAACCCAGCCGTGGCGCCGAGTATTTCGCGTGTCGGTCAAACAAATGCAACATACATATCAGCATTCTGCAAACAACCTCTAAGTGTAAAATAAGGTAATTTTATTTAATATTTTACATTAGATTCTCAGGCAATCTGGGGGAATCTCCAGACTGCTACATATGGTACTTGCATGACGGAGAATGCCTTCTATAGCTCTGTACTGATCAATGTTTATTCCTTTCGAGAACAAAGTTACGGCGTTCCTGGCGCCAGCATGTCACTTGGTGACCTTCGCCTGGACAGCCGTGGACGCAGATGGACCACATGGCCATCAGGTACCGTTGGCGAGGCTGTACAACAGGCTGCAAATCAATTTAGAGAACTTATCTCACCTCTGATCACGCACTTGTGTGTGTGCCAACGTTTCTCACCGCGTTGGTGACACGTAGTGTCGTCGGAAACGGCTTGAGGTAGAAAAACCTTCGCTTCAAATATCCTCAGTGCCTTTCAGAACTCGCTAGCTTCCAGTCTGAAGAGTCCTGCACTAATAGGTGTTGAGGCGCTTTGGACCCATATGCGGAGTGCCATAGTCATCGCAATGAGACTAAACGTCAGCGTAGTGCGACGATTTGCGTAGCACCGTGACCCATTGAGCTATGCTGGGTGGCACTTTTCAAGTGACGTCAGAACAACCCATACTCAATGGTTAGGAGTCAGATTAACTCGGTCTCACAATCCAATCTTCTTCGGAGATTAGTGAGAGGTCGATGGCTCTGTTTAAAACCTAATCATGGGGACAACAGGTCTAAGGGTTATAAACTCACACCGCGATTGGTGTAGAGCACCAGCACCACCCATTGTGTCTGTCCGGGAGACAGTAAGAATTGCCTTGGAAATTCACTATTTTAGCGAGTAATCGATTATTAACGATTATCGCATCGAGTTCGAACGTGCCGGAATGTTCTTCTTCTGCACGTGATTAAAAACCACCTGACACCTCGGCAAAACATACGGGGAACGACTAACCTTGGTAGTTGACCTTGCAATTCTAGAAGTCCAAGGTCAGTAGAGACCTGTAAATGTAGTTAGTTCAGTTCAGATAGGACTGGAACGACAGGAGAATCCCGTGAGTGTTCCATCTTGAGTGAATCAAGTTCAAGTTCAAGTTCAATTGGGACCGGAACAGTAGGAAAATCCCGCGAATGTTCCACCTTTGAAAACGTCGTTGATCCAACAGGGAAACCGGTGCCTTGATGTGCCAAAGGAGAGCCAAATCAACACACACGATTCATATGGTCAACCAAACAATGCCCACGTGCCCTGCACTAGCAGTCCCCGCTGTGCCGGCCACGTGAAGAATAAAAGAAAACAGTAGTGTCAGTAAAGAAAAGAAAACAGAGAAGACAAGCTAATCGAATATCGTAGGCAATATTAAAATGTAAGTTAAAATGAGTTAAAGAAGCGTAAGCCGTAATAGACGCAGAAAAGTTTAAGACACGAAGGGGAAGACTTTAAACTGCAGACCGAGAGCGTCAAGTCGATGCTCGAACTCTTTCAACGTCGGTGCCATCACGACGTCTGCAGGCAATGTGTTCCAATAAGCTATAACCCTACGCGATAATCTAAAAGTTGCCAAAACCCGGTCAGACCGGGGTTTGTGCAACTTTAATGGGTGGCCACGAAGGGTTGGCATTCGAGTTGGGCGAAACAGTCCAGTCAAATCAGGACCAATCTGACCCATCAATATACGATATGTAAGGACCAAGTCGCCCCGAAGCCGCCTGTAATACATGGAAAACATATCCAACTTACGTAGCCTCTCCGGGTACGTCAGCTTCTTTAAGTCGTACACCATTTTCGTCCCGGACCGCAGGACTCGTTCAACTGCCATCTTATCACGAACCAGGCATGGAGGACAAGCCTGGACGCAGTATTCTAAGTGCGGCCTTACAAAAGCCGAAAATAGTCTAACAAACATGTCGGTGGTCATGATCCCGAATGACCTGCGGATCATCCACAACATGTTGAAGCCTTTACGAGCAGCTGCCTTCCAGTGTTCACTGGACTTGAAGTCAGATGACAGCAAAACACCGAGGTCAGATTGGAGTTGAACTCGCGGTACCTCGTTGCCACCAAGCAAATAACGCGTCGGCGGGTCATTCGGACCAACGCGTAGAACGGAACATTTCCCTAAATTAACTGGCAACTGCCACAAAATTGACCAGTCCCAAAGTCTATCCAGAGCCCCCTGTAGGGTCAGTGGACCAATCGACTCTTCTATCGTGAACCAGAGTTTTAAGTCATCCGCAAACATTAGGGATGGCACACCCAATTCATCAGGTAGGTCATTAACGTATAAAGTGAAGAGAAGGGGGCCAAGAACCGAACCTTGCGGCACGCCACTGAGAACACATTGGCGGAAGGACAAGCTTGAACCCACCCGCACACACATTTCCCTTCCGATTAGGAAAGCTGAAATCCATCGTAAGACTGGTCCAGAAATACCAAAGGAATTCAGCTTGTACAAAAGGCGCGAATGTGGAACGGTGTCAAAAGCTTTGGAAAAGTCAATAAACAGCACGTCTACTGCCTTCCCGCAATCAACGGCTTCGGCCCAGTGTTCACGAGCGGTTAACAAGTTAGTAAGGCAAGAATAGCCCTTACGAAAACCGTGCTGAGAAGGATTAAGCAAGTCAAACGCTTTCAAATGTCCTTCGAGAGCGTCCCTCACGAGCTTTTCCAATAACTTGACCAGCACGCTCGTTAAACTGACCGGTCTATAGTTATCAGGGAGGTGCTTATCACCTTTCTTAAAAATGGGGCAAACAATAGCCTCCTTCCAGTCCTTGGGTAGAGAGCAGCCTTGTAGAGACTTCACAAAAAGATGCGTAATCGGAGAGCAAAGTTCATCAGCCAACTCGTACAACAGTTTGGGATGAATAGCATCTCCACCGGCAGCTTTACTAGGATTTAACTGCCTCAAAAGCCGGAGCACTTGAGCCTCGGTTATAGAAACCTCCTCCAAGTGGGAGCCCTCAGGAACTTTTGCCTGGAGACTGATATGCGGCGGCTGTGACTCTCTAACATAAACCCCAGCATACTGTTCTCCAAGCAAACAAGCTTTTTCGTGATCCGTGACAACAGCAGTGCCGTCCGGGCCAAACAATACTGGGATGCACGAATTCATGTTGCTTCGCCTTTTGACATAAGCGAAGAAGCGTTTCGGGTTTGATGAGGCTATACGAGCAAGCTCTACTTCATGCTGTAGACGAGCACCACGTAGATACTGCCTGCAGGCATTTCGAACCTCACGATATCGTTTGAAAGTGCATAATGAAGGAGCAGATAAGTAAGTACGCCAACATCGGGCACGTCTGTTAAGTTGTTTGCGTACAGCAGAATCAAACCAGGGTGGCTTTGCCCTAGTTTTATTCCTGCCAGATAGTGGTATATGGGGGAGAGAGAGCTCACTCAAGTATGATTTAAAGCTTTCCCAGGCCGTTTGAATATCGTCGCTTTCCAAAATGACACAAGGCGACTTTGCGGCTTTGGCTTTCATTGTCTGAAAGTCTGCGCGCCATATATTTGGTACTCGGTCAGGATGATCATTAGTCTGACGACTAAGGGCGCACTTAAATGAGAGACATGCGTGGTCGCTAGCACCGAAAGGTGAGTTGTATACAATATTGGTGACAAAATCAATGGATTTAGCGAAGATCAAGTCCAAGAGGGACGGGTTTTGACCCATCATGAATCTAGTAGGCCGATCGACAAATTGGTGCAGGGAAGCATGCAAGGCCAGCTCGAGAAGCTCGGTAGCCAAACACTTTGTAACAGCGCCGCAGGAAAAATTCTGCCAGTCAACGTCGGGAAGATTGAAGTCCCCCATCACTAAACACCTATTTGCCGAATGCTCGCGGATGAAATCAGCAAGCCCCTTAGCAACGCTGTCGGGGCTTCTATAGACCAGCACAATTTTAAGTTGCGTGGAGGCAATACACAGGTTAACTGCGAGTGCCTCAACATCACCCTCTGATGATCTGAAACTATAGGTCTTACAGACAGTAAGTGCGGAGTTAACGTACAAAACAACACCACCTCCGCGCCGATCAGAGGTGCGGTCACATCTCAGCAGTGCGTAGCCTGGCAAGCACACTTCACTGTCCGTGACGTCGGTGGACAACCACGTTTCAGTGAATGCGAGGACATCTGGACGGCAGTCGTCGACAAGTGCGCCGACTTCGCACAGCTTGTTTCGCAGGCTACGCTGAGCCAGGAATTGATGAAGTGCTCAGTTATCGATGGATTTAAAACGGAACACTCGTATCGCACCCTGACCAACCAGGTAATGCCCACGTTTCCTGCCCTAGCAGTCCTTGCTGTGGCAGTCACGTGAAGTAAGCAAAGGATAGGAAGAGAAATCGGAGGTACATAATAAGGAAGTGCACTTTAAATAAGAAAATAATACCAATGCGTGAAGAAAAGTAGAGAAAAGAAAATCGAAGTACGAAGATGCGAGTTACTCAGGAAAATGGAAAGGTTTTATGTTGCCACCCAAGAGCGTCAAATTGCCGCTCAAACCCCTTCACCGTAGATTCCCTAATAACACTTTCCGGAAGCATGTTCCAGCGGTCGATAACTCAGCGTGACAGCCGGATTTCCGCCATAATCCGATCGGACCGCGGTTTGTCCAGCTTCAAGGAATGACCGCGTAGAACAGACAATCTAGCGGGACTAAATAGCCAAGATAAATCTGGACCAACCTTCCCAGTTAAGATACAGTAGGTTAGGATTAGGTCTCCTCTAAGCCTTCGGTAGTGCATTGAATGCATTCCCAAACTAAGTAGACGCTCGGGGTACGTCCGTCCCCGTAATCCCTCGACTAACCTAGTACCCACTCGTAAAACCCTCTCTAGCTCCATTTTGTCCCGGACGAGGCAGGGCGGACAAGCCTAGACGCAGTATTCCAGATGAGGCCGAACGAAAGCCGAGAACAGCCTCGTAAAGATGCCGCCCGTCAAGACTCCGAAAGAACGTCGAATTAACCACAACATGCGGAAAGCTCTGCTTGCGGCCTTCTTCCAGTTGTCGCCGGAGTGTAAAGCCGAAGAGTGTACGATGCCTAGGTCAATCTGGCTAGATACACGGGGGAGTTCGACCCCACCGACCACGTACTTCGTAGGAGACAACCTCCTCCAATTCGAAGAACGGAGCACTTTGCTTGATTTATGGGCAGTAACCATAAAGTAGACCAGTCCCAAAGCGTATCCAATGCTCACTGAATAGCTTCGGAACCCCCAGGAACATCGACAATGTTCCACAGCTTCAGGTCATCAGCAAATAGCAGCGATGATACCTCAAGCTCCGCGGGTAGGTCATTCACATAGATAGAGAACAGCAGCGGTTAAAGGACCGAGCCCTGCAGCACGCCACTGAGGACAGACTGCCTAAACGATAGACCACGGCCTACCCGTACACACTGTTCTCTACCCTCTAAAAGGCAGTCACCCAATGAAGGACGCGGCCAGATACCCCGTAGGAGGACAGCTTTTGCGCGAGCTTCAAATGTGGTACCTTGTCAAATGCTTTCGAAAAGTCGACGAAAAGCACGTCCAGCGGGTGGCCGTTATCCACTGCATCCGCCCAACTTTCGCGAGCCACCAGTAGATTCGTCAGACACGAAAATCCCTTCCGGAATCCGTGTTGCACATTGCTAAGTAGATTAAATCTACTCAGATGACTCTCCAATGAATGTCTCACCAGTTTCTCGAGGAGTTTGACTACTACACTCGTCAGACTAACTGGCCTGTAACTTGCAGGCTGACCCCTGTCCCCACTTTTGAAGATGGGACAGATGACAGCTTCCTTCCATTCGGAAGGCAATGCACAGCTGTCAAGCGATTTCTGAAACACCATAGCGAGCGGTCCACTTAGTTTCGCAGCCAACTCATGTAACAGTTTCTGGTGAATTAAATCCGGCCCAGAGGCCTTAGAAGGGTTCAGCCCTTCTAACAGCCTATGAACTTCCG